TAAAAAATCTTAAAAATAAAAAAAAATAAACCTTTCATATCAAATGACATGTTTCTTATCAAAAATTTATATTTATTATTTAATATGGTTCAAATTACATAGGACTTTTTTAATAATTAGAACTATAAATGAAATTTACTTATAGCAAAGATTAAATCGCGTCAAAATTAGTTATTTCAATAGTAACAGGGCTGACACCTTTATAAAATAAAATACAAAGAAGAAAAAAACAAGCAAACCTCGTTATGTCCTACAAACATATTATCCAAACATAAAATAAAAACTGGCGCCCTGATGTCGATGCCTTGAATAAAGAGACCGCCCACAGCGTTCCTAACATACGATAAAGGTTAAACCCCTATTTTAGTCCCTCAACTATGGTATGGATCTCTAATTTAGTCCCTCAACTCAATAAATCCTTAATTTGGTCCCTACTGTTTACCATTTTGATCCCAACTTGGTCTTTCGTTAAAAATCCAATGACGTGTCATATTAACTAACGGCTACATGATGACATGTCAAAATAACATGACATGTCAAATGTACACTTGGAAAAAAAGATGACATGGCAGTATGACATGTCTCATTCTTGCCAAGAACCAAATAAACAAAAAACGCGAGGCCCACCCCTCCAAAAACTGAACCCTTGTCCCCCGTTCTTCCCAGTGGAACCCTAGAACAACAGAGCTCTTCCATCAAACCTAGGCGTGCTGGGTTCCTCAACAAGCACCTTTTCTTTTTCCTTTCTCTTCCTTGCCTTCTTCATCAATCAATTCTTCATTGTCATCAAACAACAAAACCCACAAAAAAAGAAAAGAATATTTTTTTTTTTTATTTTTTGCCCTTGGGTTTGAAAGAACACAGGTGTACTGGGTTCGTCAAACCCAGCACTTGGGTTCGTCAAACCCAGCACTTGGGTTTGAAGAAACCTCGTGCCTGGGTTCCATCGAACCCAGCACCTTGGTTCGAAAGAACAGTACTATCAAAATCCAGACATAATAAAGTAGATCCAGCTAACCAATAGTAGAATCATAAAACACAGATCCAGAGACCAAAAAACCAGATTAGGAAACCAAATAAAGCAATCACTAAAACCAACTAAAGCCAAAACGAACTAAAATTGCAAAATCGACGATAGAGATCGTCAATGTACGCACAAATCTCACTTTCCATAGCACAAAGACATCAAAACGAGCAACAGAATCCTCAAATTAGCCAAACATAAATCAATCCATTGTAATCTCAAATCGGAAGACAAAGCCTCGAAACTAAACGATCGAGAGAGCTTACCTGAACAGGAAATCGATGACGAATTTATCGAAAGAGAGAGCCCAAACGTGCTACATTCCAAGGAACCCAGCGCTTGGGTTTGACAGAACCTGCACTTGGGTTCCATCGAACCCAACACCTGGGTTCCATCGAACCCAGGCGCTGGGTTCCAAAGAACCCACGGTTAGGTTCGAAAAAACCCAATAAGTGCTGGGTTTTAAGGGCAAGAGGAACCCAACACCTGGGTTCGATGGAACCTATGCCTGGGTTCCAAAGAACCACGGTTGGATTCGAAGGAGCCTAGAAAGCACTGGGTTCTAAGGGCAAGAGAAACCCAACACCTGGGTTCGATGGAACCTATGCCTGGGTTCCATCGAACCCCGACGTGCTGGTTTGAAGGAACCCAACAGGCTCTGGGTTCCAAGGGGAAGAGAAAGGAAAACAGATGGAAAAAAAAAAAGAAAAAAAGAAAAGAATTTTTTATTTTTTGTTATATTAATATTTTTTTATCATATTATTTTTTTTTTCTATGTCATCACTTTTTGTCATGTTATCTTGCCACGTGTATTGAAAATTTGACATGTCATCATATAGCCGTTAGTTAATAGGACACATCATTAGATTTTTAACGGAAGGACCAGGTTGGGATCAAAATGGTAAACATTAGGGACCAAATCAGGGATTTATTGAGTTGAGGGACTAAATCGAAGGTCCGTACCATAGTTGAGAGACCAAAACAAGGATTTAACCTACGATAAAATATGTATGAGCAGTGCTACGAACACTCGCCTCCTGCACTCTCCGGCCAACACTCCCCCTTTCATTGGGCCACGTAAGGTTGTTTAAGCTCTGAAGTGCAACCTCGGGCGAACTAAAATAACGTGGCCCAATGAAAGGAGGAGTGTTGGTTGGAGAGTGCAGAAAGCGAGTGCCCCTAGCACTGCTCAATATGTATTTCCAATTCTTCATGTTCTCCACCTCCATTGAAGAATTCACCCAACTCTACCTCAAACCATCTCCTCTCTCTTTTGGGTACCGCTCACCATATTGTGTTACATGTCCACCATCTACATGAACATAAACAATTCGCTTTGAAACTTGAGTTGCACCAAGTCGAACAGTAGCATCTATGGGTTTATTCTCAAATCCTTTAGCATAGGCTGCCAGTTTGAACACTAGGAAAGCATTATAACGTGTCATCGGGGAAAGATTGCAACTATTAATCCTTCCAGTGATTTCGAACCAACAGGCATCAAGAAGCTTCGCAACCTCAGGAAACCTGTTTGAAAATTAATGTAGGCGTGAATGATATATCATATTATCACATATCTATTTGTTCTAGGTTGGGGAAGGAGACTTTACAAAGCAATCACGTGTGGGCTTGCTTGAATAATTTTGGTTCTAAATGACTAAATGTATGTATGCGTTTTGTGTAATGCATGTTTGTGTTTGTGATTCCTGTGTGGTTGAGAGAGATACCTGGAATCGGGTGTGGGGATCCACCTCCAATAATAAGGGGTATCACCCCATGGAATTGCGAGGCTCCTGGGAGCTAGCATGTAACATTTTTTCCCACTCCTTTTGTCCAGTGAAAAGCTCTGTGCAATGTATGTGATATGCTTAAAGACCCAACGCTAGTATTGCAAAATAATACTATGGAAAAGACTACTCTGATCAGCTTCAATTAAATTCAAGATGTATTGGTAAACAATGAACAAAAGGATCACATAAACTCCCCATTAAAAGGACATAAAAATCGTTAATCATTATATTAACAATAAGAACATAATAGTCTTTCAAAGCATAGTCCATAAGAATTAAGAAACATAGGCAACAACCATGAAGTTCTGTAAACATAGTCAATATTATCGATCATCTTGATTTGGGGTAATGCTGTAAGGCCTGCGACCTAACCTTCGGAATACCAACAAAAAACACCAACTATCGCTAGTACAATTACAGTGCGTTATTATATGAGTAACTATTTTGATTCAGGATATAGTGTGCATCTACATCCACTCAACTAATGACACATTAAGCCGTCAGTAAGCTTACGATCTCCTCATTGTAACTATATCATTGTCCAAATACATTAATTTTACTTTAATCTAAATACACAGCAATGAAAAGGAAGTTGGCCAAAAAAAAGGGGCAAAGAAAGAAAGAGGCAGAACCAGAATTTTTTTAGGGGCCATATCCAAACACAACGTTGATAACTTAGAATTTTAA